CTGACTCAGATGATATAAAGTTTTCTGGAGGCCCTACCTGGCTTGTTACAATACGTAGATGACTTGCTTCTCTCCTCCCTTTCCCAAGCCTCTTCACAGGAGGACAGCATGTAGCTGTTAAAACTTTCAGCCTTAAACGGACATAAAGTTTCCAAGGAAAAAACTGCAGTTTGTTCAAACTGAGGTTCGATATTTAAGGCACCTGATCTTGGAATGGGGGTTTGTTTGTTCATTCATTCACTCATTCATTCATTCATTCATACGTTTATTTATTTTTTTAAGTACACTCCATGCCTAGCATGGAGCCCAATGCGGGGCTTGTACTCACAACCCCAAGATCAAGACCTGAGCCAAGATCAAGAGTTGCTCAACCAACTAAGCCACCCAGGTGCCCCAGAACAGGGGTTCATTTAGACATAGTTAGGCTCTGTGGTATCCTGAACTTCCCCAAACCTAAAACTAAGTGCCAATTACAAGGTTTTCTTAGGGTAGGGGACTACAGTCAAAAATTGGACTCCAAACTTCTCTCTTATCGCCTAGCCCCTATATGTTTTACCTAAACACAACAAACCTGACCCTATTATTTGGGAAGATTGGAATGACATAGCCTTTGGGGCCTTAAAGAAAATCTTAACAAAGCTTCCTTCCCTTGGACATTCTAATTATTAGCTCATTATCCTTTTTGTATATGAGAGGAAGGCTACGCCTTTGGAGAACTCATCCAAAAATCAGGAAACTTATCGACCCACAGGATATTATAGCCAACAACTGTACCCTGTGGCCCAAGGATAGCCCCCCTGCCTCAGAGCCATTCCTGCCACTGCCCTTTTGGATAAGGCCACTGAAGAAATAATCATGGGGGGCGCCTGGGTGGCTCAGTTGGTTAAGCGACTGCCTTTGGCTCAGGTCATGATCCTGGAGTCCCAGGATCAAGTCCCACATCGGGCTCCCTGCTGAGCAGGGAGTCTGCTTCTCCCTCTGAACCTCTTCCCTCTCATGCTCTCTATCTCTCATTCTCTCTCTCTCAAATAAATAAATAAAATCTTAAAAAAAAAAGAAATAATCATGGGATCCCCTTGAACCATTCTTGTGCCCCATGCAGAAGCTCCTCTGAATTCCCATCACACTCAACACCTGTTGGCCAGTCATCTTACCTCCTATGAAATCCTCCTGTTAGCTTCTCCTCCTATAACTCTTCCTCACTGTAATAACCTTGACCCTGCTATTCTCTCTTTCACCACTCTGATAAACCCCTCACCACTGCTTGATGCTGACAGATCACCTTTTGACTGCCCATGACAATTTACAGATAACTCTAACCAATGGAGATTTGTCATAGCTTACTGATGGGTCTTACTTAAAGGACAAAAATGGTACTGTCTTGGGTATACTACTGCAAATTACTTTTGAAATCATCCAGGCAGAACTTTTACCTTTGGCTACTTTGACCCAACAGGCTGAATTATATGCTTGTGCTCGGGCTTGTACCTTTGCCAAGGGTAAAACTGCAAACATCTATACTGACAGTCAGTATGCCCTTTGGTCAGCTCATGACTTTGGAATGTTATGGAAACAGCAAGGTTTCCTTACTTCTAATAGGAATAAAATTACAAATGGCTCTTATGTCCAAAATTCATTAGATGTCAAACTTTTGCCAACTGCCCTGGCTATTATTAAGACCCCTGTGCATTCCAGATTTGACTCCCTGGCCAAAGGAAACTACCTAGTTGATGTTTCCATTAAAAACACTGCTCTTAAAGGAACCAATAACCAAACCTCTGTCATGGTCCAAAGGAATGTTGCCTCAAATGACAATCTAGAAAAACTGACAAGAGATGTCCAATAATTGGCCCCAGAGAGGGAAAAACAATATTGGAAATCAAATAATTGTTGGTTTGATTAAAAAGAACTCTAGCTTGAGAGAAATAACAATCCAGTCCTGCCAGAGTCTCGAAAATCTCATTACTAACCACTGCACATGCATTAATTATGGCTCTACCGATAAGATGATAGCTTTAATGAATCAATTCCGGTAGAGAAATATTAAGAAGCCCACAAAAGTGCCTATTTTGCTTGCCCCACCTGTCCAAAATACAATTCAGGAAACCCATCACACCACACCCTGGCATTTTAAATTGCCCAAGGGATCATTCAAAGTTTGGCAAATGGATTTTATTCCACTCCCCCTGTCTTGTGGATCTATGTTTTGGTCATGGTTTCTTTTCTCACTGATCTGAAGCTTTTCCTTGCAGATGGGGTATGGCCTTTTCTGCAGCTAAAATCCTATTAGAAAAGATTACTCCTACCTGAGGAAGCCCTCTCGAGCTTCCCAGTGATCAGGGAATGGTCAAGTTCATCAATAAGGTCTATGCTGTTTGGCCGGTTCTACAGCACTATCACTGTGCTTACCACCTTCAATCCTCAGGGCAAGTAACACTAACAGCACCATTAAGACTCAATTGGCAAAATTTGTGGAGACTCTTCAAGGAGTCCTGCTAGTATATGTGCTGCTGAAGCGAGCACACGATTGGGTCCTTCTAAATCTGAGATCCACCACCCCCTTTGTAACTCATTAACTCTCACATGCTTTGAGCCAGTCACAGGGCACCTGATGCACCTGGCTCCTGCCTCGTCTAATCCACTGCTGATAAAAGGGGATCTACTCGGATATTGTAAAGGCCTCATTGCTTCTGTTGAAACTAACCATGCTTTAGTAGAACTATCTTCACGGCACACTCCCAGGAGACAAAGGCCGTAAGCATCGCATCTTGCAACCCAGAGATTTTGTCTACTACAAAAGACACCTCAAAAAGTTCTCTCTTCAGTCTTGTTGGAGGGGCCCTACCAGGTACTGTTTACCAACCCCTGTGCCACCAAATTTCAAGAAACACACTCCTGGATTCACACGTCACATCTAAAGACCTGCACACCAACTGGTGACCTGAAAGTAGTTTCCAGGAATTAAAGCAGGCATCTGATAAAGATCACTTTCCCAAAATGACTGGGCCAGGCTTATTTTTTGTCTCTCTTCCATGACAGATAATGCTCTTACCCGCATTTCCCAATTGCTGCAAAAGGGGGAACCTCTCTGTTTGCGGGACTTGTCACCAGAAACCTCAATCTGTCCAGAGCAACAGGGATCCCTTAGTTCACCCTACAAGTAATTTTGCTGGAAGTCCAATTGCCGCTGCATGCCTAAACTGTTGCCCAGCTCTGTTTATAAAGTTAGAATATTAAATCCACACATACTTGTTTCCTGCCTCAATTCCACCCAAATCTAGGTGGGAGAAGTGAGATCTTTTGAATACATATGTAAAACACACTGTGGAAGAGCCAATGTAAGTTGGACCATTTGTAAGCTGGCTGTCATACCCATATATTTAGAAGACTTTCAATACGTGGTAACATGGTATTTGAGTCTTCGCTGAATAATGCTAATGCCTCTACACCGACAAATGGGTCCATAAATGCTAATACTTATGAGGGAGCCCCATGTGTAGCTCCTGGCTACTCTTCTGTACGTGGAGGTTTGGTAACGGCCCCTATGCTTGAGCAATTCATTGCCTTGATGGCTGAAGGATAAAAGGACAATGTGCTCTTGCTGTGTTCATTGTTCTATTTATGCTTCATAACGAACTAGCAGCTTCCTACCAGTCTACGTCACTAAACCTTCATGACCATCTTAAATGAGAACTTCCAGGAGGCATACACAACTCCAAGTCTGCCTCCGTAGAGAGAGCCTTTCTCCCTTCAGAGTAAATACTAAGAGACACAGAAGTTTTTCCCTAAACTTAGAAGAGCTGGTCAGTTCTACAGCCAAAGCAACACCAGCCCAACAGTGATTATTCAGCTCATTGGCTGAAGTAGCCTTGGACACTCACATAGCTCTGCGTTACTTACCTGCTGAGCAAGGAGGCATCTGCGCGAGAGCAGACACCACCTACTGCACATAGATAAACTCTTCTGGAAAAGTAGAAACGCAATTGCGCAAAACTAGGGGACAAGCACCTACTATAACAAATTTCGCATGACTCTCAATGATCTTTTGTTCAGTTGGCTTTCTTCAGGCCTAGGATCATGGTTTAGAACCATCATACAATTTAGAATTGTCATGCTGCTTTTGGTTACCTTTTGTATAATAATTTTTAAGTTTTGCACCTGTTACTTGTCAAACTTTTGTAGAAACCATGGACCCAATAAGGTGATGCTAGCTCAACACTTCAAGATGATCTCCAACACGTATGACCTCAACAAGATATAGACTTTGGAAGGGAAATGCCTGAGAGTTTTCCTTCCTAAGCTTCTTTGTTACTCAAATTTGGTCCGAAATGGGTTCTGCTATACACTTTCTCTCTGACGTGGGATCTGACATACAGGAAAGCTCCTTCCTGGCACTGAGACACAGACGACCCAACTCTTGGTCAGCAATGCTTTTGAGGAAAGATTTGGATCAAAAGGGAGAAATGGTGAAACTAAATAAAGGAAACTACATTTAAGATACAAAGAGGAGGCCAGAAGGGGGAGCTCTCATGCCCTACCTATCAACTCATCATCCATTGCAGAACCCAACAGTTAAGATAGTGGGACCTTGCATTTTCCAGCAGGGGGAAGAATGAATTTCTCCAAGCCAAGCAACTAGCTCAGCCAATAAGAAAATACCACAACTCCGCCAATGAGAAACTGTGCCCACCCCGAACTCTCTTTCCTACCATGGACTTTCATTCAAAGAAGCCCCTCCCAACTTTTCTCCTCATTTTCTCTATAAAGTAATGGTTCCTTTCCTTTGGTCTCAGGAGTTGCCTATGCTTTTGCCACAGCCTGCATGTTCTGAATCGCAGTTCCTCTGTCATTCCCAAATAAACACATTTTATGGTAAGATAACTGGCTGCTTTATTTTCAAGGTGGCCAAGCTGACTGAATATTAGAAGGGAAAGAGAGAATTGAAAGATGAATTTCTTGTGACACAAATTTACAATGTAGCTTTTAAAAGATAAATGTACCTCTTTCATGAACTGTTCAAACTCTTCATCCAGCTCTTCTTTGGAATACTGAGCCATAATCAAGAATTTTCACTTCCCAAAGTATTTGTAACATTGGAAACACTAAATGACAAGAAATAAACATGCTTTGAGGAAATTCATATCACGTTGTAAGAGCATCCAGACTTAAACCTCAGACATTTCTCTTATGATTTAGTATATATGCACAATTATTGACCAATAACCTTGACAAAAGATTCCGAATTCATGAATTAAGCCGCTTTGGAAAAGCACCTTTCACAGTCTGCACTGTACTTAGGGTCCAGAATTACATTTTCATTATTAACATACAATTGTTGAAGGGTAGCCTCCACGATATTTCCTAACCTACGGGGCGTATGTTATTTAATATCCCTGAAACAAATCAGGAACCTTTCAAAAATTATAAATTAGCAAGTCCAAAAGGCCATTTCGTTTTTTGCAAAGCACGGGACAGAGTTTGTGCTGCCCTATCATTCGGTTGGTTATCAGTACATATTAATAGTTTGCAAAATAGACTGTTTCCGGATACAGACAAACTGCAATTCACTAAGATTAAAAATCTACCTAAAATAGTTAATGGAGTATACAAATCAGAACGAATTATGTTCCTTTTGGAGCCAGGGAAAGCCAACAAAACTATTCATAAGTGACTTGTAACCAAAGCTCTCCCACCCCTCTAATGAACCCAAACAACTTCAGATCTGTTCCAGCTTCTGGATATACCTCCTTGAGGCTGCTCAAACCGCAGCTTCACTTTCCAGAGGCGGTGGAGGGGGGCCGTGTGTGTGGAGACCCCGCCCGGACAGTATTTTTCCCAACCTGAGAAAAACACCCCCCTGCCTCTTCAGCATTTCTGATCAGTTCAGGGTGTTTGCAGTTAAGGTCTTAGCCCCCAAGATCTTGGTCGGAGACGGATCCCATCAAAAGGGCTCGGCTTGGCGGGGTACGGCCTCAAGGAAGCGCGGGTTCCAGAGTGGCGGAAGGACAAAGACGCACTTGAACGGAGCGTGGGCGGAGGAGGGAGTGACCGGGAAACTAAAGCCCTGAAGAGCAGGTCTGAGGACAGTCTCGGTCAGGGTCCACCGAGTGGGAAGCCTCACCTACCTCTGCCTCTGAATTCCGCGCTATCCCGAAGGTCTGCGGGGACCCAAGAGTTACCAGGGTAACATACTCCAGCCGCCTGGCTCCCAAGTCACCTGACCCGGACTGGTCACGTGGCTTGTGGACGCCCCACCCCGCCCCCCGCAACCGTGGTTGTGGACCGTGGTTAGTGTCTTTCTTCCTGCACAAGAAGGTGACGATTGCTGCGGCTCAGAATAATTTGGAGGGTAAGAGCCGTCGCTGCTGCACCAGGAGAGACTCCACAGCTTTCTCTGCGCTCCCTGGAAAAGTGGATTGAGCGAGCGGCTCTCGAGAGCCGGAACACAGGCATGCTGGGTATTGTAGGCCCAGCCCGTGGCTTCCTGGGAAATGTAGTTTAGCTTCCTTAATCCTTGTATTTCCTCACGTCTTGTCTTCTCTCTTCCCAACTTTCCCCACCCTTGTGGTTTTGGCTCTGCTTTCCAAGCGGAAATTTTGGAAAAAATTATTTTATTGGCTTCCTCCACGTGCAAACCCCTGAGTAGGCGTTGTGAGAGAAACTCAGGTGAGAAAGAATTCTGTTATGAAGATAGAGGCTCTGTTCCACCATCTAGTGGGCAAAAAATTGAAAATACACATACACACCCCCAACCTGTTACTCCTCTCAAAGCATCTCTGTTTCCCTCTACACCTCCCTTACTCCCACTCTATAGTGGCATCTTACAATTATTTTCTTGGATTTTTCATTTTATTTTTGCTCTTGTTTCTTCTAAAACACACAAGTTTCAGTTTCAGAGGACAGCATTTACGATAGTGAAAGTAAAATGAACAACAGTTGAAAGGATTGCCACTGGCAGACACAGGTTAAGGACTTAATTATCACCAGCCTAAACTTTTCGTTCAGCAAGTGTTTATTGTGATACAAGTGTATACATGCCAGGCGCTGTGCCCTCAGATAAAGATTTGAATAATAATGGTTTTTTGAAATTTTATTTTATTATGTTATGTTAGTCACCATACAATACATCATTAGTTTTTGATATGGTGATCCACGATTCATTGTTTTCGTATAACACCCAGTGCTCCGTGCAGTACATGCCCTCAATAATGGAGGTTTTTTTTTTAAAGGTACTATTTATTGAACATATAGGTTAATAGGGCTTCACAAGCATTCTTTCTCTTAATCCTTACACGCTTCAAGTCAATTCAATTTAGCTTATATTTTGGTTTCTAATATGTGCCAAATGAACAAAATGATCATAATCCCTGCCCTAATAGAGTCTTTGGTCTAATGGAACTGATAGACAAATGATCAGACAATTGCAATTCTGTATGACAACAGCTATGATAGAAATTGGGTATGCTTAGAAGATGTTAGAGGTCTTCTCACCCTCCTAGGAGGTTAGAGAAGGCTTCCTAGAGGAAGTCTAAATTGAAACCTAAACCACCTAAAGAATAAGTGGAAGGTAGCAAGGGTTGATGAAGAGAAGAAAGGCAGTATTCCGTCCGAAGGAATCCATGTAAAAAGATGCACAAGTTCTCTATGAAGTTGTTGTCCTCATTTCATAGATGAGAAAATTGAAGCAGAGAGGGTGACTTACCCTCAAAATCATAGTGGCTGAACCAGAATTCAAGACTTGTTTTCACCTGCTTTCTTATCCAGCTTGCAGTCTATCATCCTTCCAAAAGCCTTTTGCAAATACTTTCAATAGCTTTGCCCCAGTGCCCTTGGAGTGTGCCTACCCAATAAAACACCTGCTCTGGAGCCATTGAAGATAGTTTGAGAAAATCACCCAACAGGTCAGACTATAACCAGTTTTCTGAGACATCTCAACTTGTTGGAGTATAAACATGAAGTTATTTTATTTTTAATTATCACTTTTTTAAACAGTGCTGTGTTAAATACCACTATCCCTTTTCTTACCACCTTAGACAAAATTTTATTTTATTTTTATTTATTTTATTTTTTTAAGATTTTATTTACTTATTTGAGAGAGAGAATGAGAGACAGAGAGCACGAGAGGGAAGAGGGTCAGAGGGAGAAGCAGACCCCCCGCCGAGCAGGGAGCCCGATGTGGGACTCCATCCCGGGACTCCAGGATCATGACCTGAGCCAAAGGCAGTCGCTTAACCAACTGAGCCACCCAGGCGCCCTAGACAAATTTTGGATTGCGTAACTTTTTAGTAATTTTTTAGATATTAAAACTAGTCAGTATGGTTTAAAACTGAGATCTCTTAACTAATTCATAGTTGTCTCTGTATTTGGAGAGGGTTGGAATGGACAGGGGGCACGATCCACTTTTTACACAAACTTTGAAAGAAGGATTCTCAGTTTTTCAAGGATTGCTGGGTAAGGGGTATGAACTGACACAGGTGTCAGAGAAACTTAAATCCCATAATGGTCTTCCAGTTAGAGTGGGGACATATGGAGGCCAGATAAAAATTAGGGTTCTAGCCCAAGTATGTTTCACAAGGGTACAATGGATCTGTGGCCTTTTCTGTGATTGTATCCCCACTCCCCGAATGAATAACTGAGATATATAAATTACCCAAGTATACTTTATAACTGGAAAAACTCGAACTCTTGTGTGGTTCCCTGATCTGTGGAGCCGTTATGGTACGAAGAACCAAGTGGAAATATCCTGAAAATATCCCACCCCCATCCAAGTGAGCAAATAAAAAACAATACCTCTTCCTGGGAGGAATGGCAGGGATTAGCACCACCACTTAAAGACGTAAAGGATGCAGGAGTAGTAAACCCTGCATTTCCCTCTTCAATCTTTTTGGCTCCTACAAAAAATAGGCATCTTGGATGACAATGCACTACAGTAAACTTAAGCAAGTACCAGCCCCAATTTCAGCTGTCATGCCAGATATATTTGCTTAACTGGAAGAGATCAACATGGTTCACAGCACTTGGTATGCCATTACTTATCTGTCAAATATGGTCTTTTACATTCTCTTCAGAAAAAGCATGAAAGCAGTTGGCATGCACCTGGGTAGGACAATGGTTCACATGCACTTTTTCCCCCCTGGCTGAACTAACTCTCCTGTACTCTGTCAGAATGTAATCTGGAGGAAATTTGTCGACATTTCACAGAATATCATGACGGTTTATTGTATTGATGGCATCATACTAATTGTATTTGTGAGCAGGAAGTGAAAATTATTCTAGGTTATCTTACCTAGGCACATCCAAACCAGAGAGTAGAAGATAATCCTCACAAAACTTTATGGTACTGCCATATTGGTCCCAAACCTACTATTTGGGACATGCTGGGACCAAAAAGATAAAGATAAAGAACAAATTGATACATATCAGAACCTATCATTAAGAGGCATTGTGGGGTGCCTGGGTGGGTCAGTTGGCGAAGCATCTGCCTTTGGCTCAGGTCGTGATCCCAGGGCCCTGGGATTGAGCCCTGCATCAGGCTCCCTACTCAGGGGGGAGCCTGCTTCTCCCTCTCCCTTTGCCCCTCTCCCCTGCTCATGCTCTCTCTATCTCTCTCTCAAATAAATAAATAAAATCTTAAAAAAGAAAACAGAGATAAGGAAATCTGGATAGAGAGGCATGTAGATAGATCTATGGGAAGAGTGGGTACATAGCATACAGATCATTGTGTCTCATGCTAATGTCCACCAAAGAGCGTTCTCTGAGTAGAAAGCAGCAACCAAATAGGTTAGTTTGCCCTGTGGATATGAGCTACACTCTCTCTTAATCTTTAGACACCTCCCTGTTTGAACAATTTGCATGAACAGACATTACCCCATGGTTGGGAAGAAGGCTATTTATGGGCACAACAGAATGGTCTCCCTCTCCTAATACTGATCTAGCTACTGCCACTTTCTAAATGCCCAACTTGTCAGCAACAGAGACTGATACTGAGTCTTTGATATGATATCATCCTTCAAGGACACCAGCCAGTCATTTAATATCAGAGTAACTTTACTGGATCCCTTCCACCTGGGGAAATGGGAACAATTCATCCTCGCTTGAATTTAAACCTAGTAGGGTAATGAATTTGCATTCTCTGCCAGTAAAGCCTCCACCAACTCAGGGCTTACAGAATGCTTTACTCATTGGCATGGCATTCCCCATACATTACTTTTTTTTTTAAAGATTTTATTTAGTTGACAGAGAGAGACACAGCGAGAAGGGAACACAAGCAGGAGGAGTGGGAGAGGGAGAGAAGCAGGCTTCCAGCTGAGCAGGGAGCGCAATGCGGGGCTTGATCCCAGGACCCTGGGATCCTGACCTGAGCTGAAGGCAGATGCTTAATGACTGAGCCACCCAGTCGCCCCACCCCCCATATGTTACTTTTGTTCAAGGGATTAATTTTTGACAAAAGTAGTGAAACAATGGGTGCATTACTGCATATCTCATCACCCAGAGGCGGATGACTTAATGCAATGGTGGAATAGCCTGTTGAAGGCTCAGCTAAAGTTCTAGACTGGAGAAAGGATAAGATATATGTGCTGTGTCAATGGCTGACCTATGGTGCTGTGTTCTTTCAGGAACCGAGGGTCGGAAGTACAATTGATCTCTTTCAACATTAGTCCTAGTGACCCATTTTCAAAGTTTATTCCTTCTGGATAAGAGGTCCTGGTTTCCAAAAAGGAGAACGCTTTTACAGAAGAAAAAGTAAGAGTTCCACAGAACTTGACTATTACCTGGTCATTTGGGGGTCTTCATTCCAGTGACTAGGATCCTCATTTCTGTATCATCAAGCAAAAGTGAATTAATGTCAACATATTTACAGGATTAATCTACCCTTATTAGTATAGAGAGCCTGGGTCACTGTTATTTAATGGAGGCAGGGAGAAATATGCAAAGACTTGACTGATGCATCTCCCAGTGTTTTTGTGCCAGGTAATAATGGTGAATGGAAGTTACAGCAACTATGCCCTGATAAGGGCAAAGTAAACCAAACCTAGAATGAGAAGGTCTGGGTCACTCTACCAGGCAAGCAACTTTAGATCAGCTGAGATGCTGGCCAAAGATAAGAGAAATTTAAAATCAAGTAGTGGAGGAGAGAGATGATGATT